GTTGGAGTATAGCATAACAAAAGATGCTGCATTTTGTTTGTGTTGCTACTTGTTTAAAAATGAATGTGAAAGTCGTGGATATGTGGTTGATGCTGCTTTCACAAAGACTGGCTATAGAGCTTGGAACAAAGCTACTGAAAGATTTAGAGCTCATGTTGGAGATATAAATAGCATCCACAACAAGTGTTTCAACAAGATGCTTGATTTGATGAATCAATCACAGTCAATACGCACTTCCTTTGATAAAAAGTCCAAGAAAGAAAAAAGTGAGTCTCGGCGTCGCTTGAGTGCTTCAATTGATGTGACAAGATTTCTCTTGAAATTAGGATTATCATTCCGTGGACATGATGAGAGTCGATCTTCTTCAAATAGAGGTATTTTTCTTGAACTTTTGCAATGGTATGGAGATATTAATGAAGATGTTGGAAGCATTATTTTAGAAAAAGCTCCAAAAAATGAAATGATGTGTTCTCCAAGTATTCAAAAGGATATTGTTGATTCTTGTGCTAAGGAAACAATCAAATCTATTCTTGAAGATTTAGATGGGGATTATTTTGGGATACTAGTCGATGAATCAAAGGATGTATCACACAAGGAGCAAATGGCACTTGTTTTGAGATATGTTAACAAAGAAGGAGAAGTGATAGAGCGATTTGTTGGTATTATTCATGTTAGTGATACATCTGCTTGTTCATTAAAGGAAGCAATATACTCTTTTCTTTTAGATCACTCATTAAGTCCATCCCAAATACGTGGGCAAGGTTATGATGGAGCTAGCAATATGCAAGGACATCTAAATGGTCTTAAAACTTTGATTTTGAATGACACTCCATCGGCATATTGCATTCACTGTTTTGCCCACCAATTGCAGTTAACACTAGTGGCTCTTGCAAAGAAGGATTCAAATGTAGATGACTTTTTTTGTTTAGTTACTAATGTGTTAAATATTGTTGTAGCATCTTTTAAGCGCAGGGATTTACTTCGGAAACACCAAGCTGAACAGTTAGAGGAGTTGCTTATATCAGGGAAAGTGCATACTGGGCGAGGATTAAATCAAGAACGTGGGCTTCAGCGGCCAGGTGATACTCGTTGGGGTTCTCATTATAGAACATTAGATAATCTTATTGTTCTATTTCCATCAGTTATTCATGTGCTTGAATTTACTGGATGCGAGTGTCCAAACTATACTGATAGACTTCTTGCTAAAACTCTTGTGGATGCGATTAAGAAATATGATTTTGCCTTTATGTTGCACTTGATGTGGAAAGTTCTTATGATGACAAATGAATTGAACTCCTCATTACAAAGGATGGATCAAAATATTGTCAATGCTATGGGATTTCTTGCTCTTACAAAGCAAAGATTACAAAATATGAGGGATAATGAATTCGAATCATTAATGGATGATGTCTCTTCTTTTTGTGATAAACATGATATAGTCATTCCGGAGATGGATGCTAGCTACTTTCCTGGGAAGTCAAAGCGTAAAGCTCTTGATGTTACATATTCTCATCATTTGCGTGTTGAAATATTTTATGCTGTTATTGATTTGCATCTTCAGGAGCTTAATAATCGTTTTGATGCTGTGAGTACTGACTTACTTCTCGGTATGGCTAGTTTGAATCCAGTTAATTCATTTGGTAGTTTTGATAAGGGCAAGATAATGAAGTTGGCTGAATATTATATGAATGAGTTTGACATCAACAAGCTTCGGGATCTCAATTTTCAGCTTGATAGCTTTATAGTTTATGTTCGTGGTTCTGACAAGAGGTTCTTCAACTTGAAGGGAATTAGTGATCTTGCTAAAGTATTGGTCAAGTCAGATTTGCATCAAATTTGGCCACTTGTTTATTTGCTTATCAAGTTGACTCTTATTCTTCCCGTTGCTACTACTTCTGTGGAACGAGCTTTCTCATCCATGAAGTACATTAAAAATGAACTTCGTAATAGTATTGGTGATGAATTTTTGAATGGTTGTTTAGTTTGCTATGTAGAGCGTAAGATATTCGCAAATGTAAGCAATGATGCTATTATTTATCGTTTTCAACATATGAAAAGTCGTCGAGCACAGTTATGACTTTAAGACTAGAAGTCTCTTTTTGTAATGATAATATTACTAGTAGGTCATTGTGACTTATAACTAGTGGTTGTTTTTGATGGTGATAATATTAATCGTTGTTTTATTTTTTTAACTTTTTTTTATTAAAGAGTTTGAGTTAGTATACATTTACTTTTTTTATTAAAGAGTTTGAGTTAGTATACGCTTACACTATGTGATTGCTAACATGTTTATGTTAAAGGAAGTGAGCACCCATAACCTTTAAATCCTGGATCCGCCACTGTGTACTTAGATAATTTTTCCATGATAATATAATTACTGTTATATTTTAGTTAGCGACAATAATATAATTTGACTGTTTGTAATCATGATTCTATATAAATACGCTAAAGGCTTTAGCAATTGTGAATCCAATAACAATAACTTAATTACCGATAAATATTTTTTGCAGTAAAGGAAAATTTATTATCACTGAATGTCTCTTTAGTTGTTGCTAGTGTGTTTGCTGGAAATTTAAAAAAATCAGAAGCTCCCCTCATAAGGTTATATACAACAACAAAAATAGAGTAGTTAGTTTTCCTCTCGTAATCTAAGTGTAATTTATGACAAACAACTGCATTGGTTGACCTGGACAATGTTAAAAATGCAATTTTGCTATTTGTTCTACATCAAGAGAACTTCTAGATGTGTTCTTTTGTAGGGGAACAAAACTTCTAGGATCGCTGGTTGTTGGTCAGGAAGAAAATTATTTAATATATTTATGTCTTCTAATTTTGGATCTGCATAAATGTACACTAAAATTTATATAATGTTGAACAAATAGATAATACATACGTCCTACACTTGACATTTTGTGTTCTATGCGGTGCTTTTTACTTGGGCCATTGATTGTTGGACCTGCATAAATTATTGGGTATGGCATTTTTTGTTTTTTATTTTGAATTTCAACAAATAAGATTTCATATTAACCTTCAAATAAGCTCAAATTTAATACATAAGTTTCATATATCATAAAGAACAACTTTCAATCATCAATTTAACAAAACATCAACAAATCTAATATGCTTTAAAAAATTTCATGTATATATGCATGGGTTACAGTTATAACTTATAATGACTGAAACAAATGTTAAAATTGGCTAAAAAAAATTAGTCGTGTGCATCTGAAATTCATTTGCCAAAATAATAAGTAATAATTTTGTTATTCGAATTTCAACTGTCAATCTACTCCAAATAAACTCAAATTTGAAATATAAGTTTCATCATCAATTGTCAAAACAATAATAAATCAAACAAACTCATCTAACACCCTTTAATTTTATTTTTTTCATTTATGCTTGCTTGAAACACATGTTAAAATTAGCTAAAATTTCAATCGTATGCATCTTAAATTCTTTTGTAAAAAATAATAATTTTATTCTTCAAAGACATTCACATAATAGGCTTCCACCAACCCTCTTTTTAAAAGGTAATACAATTTATCAAAGGCATTAAATGGTCCAAAAGTGCCCAAAATTACAAAGGAAATGATGATGAGTTTAGCACTAAACATTCTAAACTTGGCCATCTTTAGATTGGATTAAAGCTTTAACACCAAGAAACCTTTGAAAATTAGACCTTAATGGAGCCATTATTCCTTATCCAATAAAGAAGTTGTTGATGAGATTAATTAGCAAAGCAACAAGCTTTATTTGGCTCCACCCTTCAAACAAGTCCACCACAATGAGTTTGTTTAGGCCAAAAAGAATGACCCAATCAATCATTTCATTCATGAATTTCATACTCTTAATCAACTTCTAAGTTATTGATTTGTTAATAAAAAAATGGTGGTCCTTCCATGTGCTGTAAGAAAGGAGGGGGACACATGATCATTCAGAGTAAATGGATTCAGAATGAGTGTGATCTTATTATATGTAAATGTTTTAGTTTTTTTTGTTGCATATTTAGACATATTTTGAGTCAAAAGCAATATGTTCAGTTGAACTCAGAGAATCCACCTTAGATTTGCCATCTTAATGTAGGAATGTAAGTTGTCTTGGATCTTACTAATGTTTCGAAAACCTTATTTATCACATTGTCCAACTTTGTCTAATAAAGAAAAGATTTTTTTTTAGATTTTTTGGTCTTAAATTAAAGATATGCCAAATGTGTCTAAATGCTCTTTAATCTTACAGTCTTAAACATGTCATGTGGAAAGATGGAAGTTGACAAAAAAGAACAAAGACATTCTTTTTGAAATGGACTAAAAAGAAAAGTAGGACAAACAAACTGAAACAGTAGAATAACATATATCATTACATGAATACATTACTTTGTTTATGTTTAATGATCATGCCAGAACAAAACATTAATAACACAAGGAATGTGATGTTTTGATGTAATATTAGCTAACAAATAAGCTAGTGTCCCATAAAACCCAAGCATCAAGCCGCATAATGCAATTTTGTACTTGGTTTGGCATAGGTACTAATATAAAATTGCCAAACTCTATATTTTTTTTTAAAATGCAAATTAATGAAAAACTTTACTTTGAAAAAGAAAACAGGCTAAAAAAAATTAGTAAATGAAGCATCTTGTGTCCCCATAAGAGAACATTATTTAGTTAAAATGTTCCCTTTTTTAAGTTAAAAATTGCTTTCTTGTTTTATTTTTTTGTTTGTGTGGCTCATCTTTGTTAAAGGCTTATTGTTGAAGCAAATATTAATGGAGGAGTCCACACTAATCAACTATTAACACCCTGGCATGTTTAAAAAGGTCTAAGGTATCCTCTAATATTAGCTATTAGCATGTGAATATCACTGTTGTCATCATCATCATCATGGTATTAATGTTTTTTGGACCCCTAATTTTTTTAATTTTAATCATACTATAATCTTTGACACTTGTCTTAGAGTATAATTAAAACACTGTTTTATTGCAGGATTTGGATGTTAGTTAGATTATGGTAAATGAGATGGGGAACACAAATTCATCAGTAGATCAAGGTATAACAGAACTGCTCTATAGTTCAAGATTGTTTCTTTTTCGTTTCGAATTTCAAGATTCTGTTTGTTTGATGTGTTTGATGATTAATTGAAGTTCAAGATTGTTTCTTTTCGCTGTTCAAGATTGTTTCTTTTTCGTTTAGAAGTTCAAGAATCTGTTTGTTTTATGTGTTTGATGATTGATTAAACTTCAAGACTGTTTCTTTTACGTTTAGAATTTCAAGACTCTGTTTGTTTGATGTGTTTGATGATTGATTGAAGTTCAAGATTGTTTCTTTTTTGTTTCAAATTTCAAGATTCTGTTTGTTTGATGTGTTTCATGATTGATTAAAGTTCAAGATTGTTTCTTTTTTGTTTAGAATTTCAAGATTCTGTTTGTTTGATGTGTTTGATGATTGATTGAAGTTCAAGATTGTTGTTTTTCGTTTAGAATATCAAGATTCTGTTTGTTTGATGTGTTTAATGATCTATGTTGAGCAGAGAATGCTGCAGTTGACGTTCAACAAAAAGGCGAAGCTACTGGCAATGTAGATGGTGTTAAAGAAGAAAACAACATAACTCCTGAAGGTGAAAGTAAAGATAATCATGAGAAAGATGCAGCTTTGCCTACTTTTGACACTTCAACAGATAAAGAACCTCAGCTTAAGAACTCTGAAGATGACAAAACAGGTTTTTTTTTTTCGATACTGTTTTCTTGATTTTTGAATTAGCTTTTCTTCATTAGTACTATCTGTTTTATGGTAGTCGGCTTTTGAATCGAATTTCTTATGCAGATGAAGATAAGGGAGAGACACAAACTAAGCAGCTTTATCAATGTTCTGAAGTTCAAACAGATGCTAATGACATATCGAGTGAAGTCACTAATATTGAAATTCATACTTCTCAATATGGGCAAAAAGTTGATCAACTTCTGGAGGAAAATGATGAAGTTCATGACCAAACATGTAACAAGAAAGGTCAGAATCTTTTTGTCATCGTAGACCTAATTATACCGGTCACTATATTCAAGCTGCTTGTATAATAGCAAGCAGGCGTTAAGTTTATGATTGTAACTTATGTTTTGATAATGGAATAGTCATGTAGACATCAATAGATAAGTAAGCAAGAAATGAAACCTTTTTGAGTTTCTTTCTAATTGGTAAAAGCTTATATCAGGTGAGGCAGAAGGAAGTTTATCAAATGATGTAGTGTTGAAGTTCGATCCAGTTGAATCCTCGAGTGTTGCTACTGATACAGTAGAAGAACACTTCAATTCATCGCCAAGTGAGGAACAAGAAACTCCAGAGAAGGGAAGATCAGGACAGAATGAGGATAAAACTCAGTTGGTCAGCTCTGAAATTGCACTAGCTGATAAGACTGTTGTTGCTGATGCCAATGATCAAAAAGTAACCACTCAACAAGACGAATGCTTGGCGGGAGAATTGGATGCCTCAGGAGTCATGTCGAATGAGGAGAAACATGAGAATATGAGTACTGAAAGTCAGGTTGATTTGGATGAAACTCCTAAAGTGGAGTCCAGTTCAAGTGATGTTACAGGCTCACTGTTGGCAGATAGTCCACGAATTACTCCATCAAGTTTGTTTGCAGCAGTTGTTGATCCACAAGACAAATGCATGGTTCATACTCCAGAGACTGAATTGATATCAAATGAATCAGAAAAAGCGGTAAAGAAATGTGATCAAAAGGGAACTGAGTCATTTATGCAGGCAGCGCATGAAATGCAGAATGACAATTCAGCTCCTTCAGTCGAATCACACCCCATAGAGGTTACAGAGGAAAAACTATCAGGAAACAACACTAACACTGATAGTGTCATGGATTACTCAATTGAGGAGGATAAGGTGAGGAGCGACATAAATGTTCAACCTGATATTCTTTATCATGATCACGCGCCACCAGAAGAACAACATGTGAATTTTGAAGAAACATTTGAAATGGTGCCTGAAATTGGAGTACTCCCTACCAAATTCATTGTAACAACTACAGAAGAAAATGGTTTTCTTGAAAAAGAAAAGGTTGAAATTGAGAAGCCTAGTAGAGAGGAAATAAGGGAGGAGTGCATATTGCATTTGGGGCCATCAAAACAGGAAAATGGCATCAATATAGCATATGGAGATGGAAGAGTGCAGGGGTTTGAGTCTGTTGAAGATCAGAAAGAACGCAACGCAGACTTGACAGAACATGATAACTGTGAATTTATTGTCACTGAGGACTCTGGTGTTTTTGAACTCAATATATCAGAAAAAGAGACAGAAAATGCACAGAATGTTCAGACAAGTCTTGAAGCATTAGCTTTTTCCAATGGAAAATGTGATTTTGATCAAAAGGTGCCAAATTTTCACTATGAAACTCCTTCCAAAGCACCAGAGAGTATTGGAAGGTTAAGTCTCGAAACGATCCCAGAGAGATCAAGCAACGGAACTGAGCTTCGAAAGTCTCCAAGCTTCGATTTTGGTGTTCACAGAAGATCTTCAGAATCAGATCAAACTCCACTTCTCTGTCCTGAAAAGACTCCTACAAGAAGCTTATCAGTTGGCTCCAATGCAAAGTTCTCAAACTCAATCACGAGAACTGGATACAACCGAAACTCACTAGACTACGAGGCAGTGACAGTCGAAGAAAAGACTATTCGAGTAGAAAGAAGTGATTCAGACATTTCCAGTACTCCTCTTTTAGGCTTATCAAACAAAGGAGAAAACGACGATCTGAAGGTAACATCTGAAACACAACAGAACCATGTTGCTGTTACAAAAAGAGAGGACTTTCATGCATCACAAGAAAAGGAAACTTGTCTAACTTCACCAAAAGGGAGCGGAAAACGCAAGCGTAGACCATCTTTCTTCACCACTTGCATATGTTGCACAGCAGCCACACATTATTGAACACTCAACAAGATATTTGTGTTATGTTTTCGATTTATTTCTTTTTTCGATTGATTGATTTTTTCACCATATTAAACATATTTTCATGTGGCATTGTTCATCACAATGGAGTGTTAAGAACATGTATAATCTGTAAGATACTGAAAAAAGTGTGTGAAAGTGAGCTAGCCCGCGAATTTCTGAGTGATGACTATAAGTTATACTTCCTGTTTTGTTTTCTCCTCTTTTGGTTTGTTACAATATTTTGCATAGCTTAGCTGCCTTTGATTGTAATAATAGTCTATTTTCTTTTCATATATCAACTAAACACCGAGTCCTGGTGCACGTGTATCTCATATCAATCAATGGTGTCTGATAGTTATTCTCTGTTACATGACAAGGAATATATGAGTCTTAAAATCACAATGCATATTGGAGTTCAAAGATTTATGTGTACGAAAAATGTCTTTATTATTATAGTGTGTTTTTTCGTAGCCGTCCAAAGGGTTGGTTTACTTTTGAGCATGCTTCGTTTGTTTTGCTCTTCTTCTTCGAACACAAATATGCAAGATACTAACTACAACAACAACATAAAATTTCATACATGATCACATTAATTATAATTTTTTTGATCGACGTTATTTAACTATATTTTCTAACATAAAAATCACAAGCTTTGCTCCTTTACAAACATAAGAATCACATATACCACAAAATTTTTAACTTCCAATACGTCATTTTTTTAATATCTAATAAGTCAAATTCAATTAAACAAACTGACCTTACCTGACCAAATCCAAATCCAAAAGTGATGATTAATAGTCTTTTACTTTTTTTTATTTTTTTTATTTTTAATCGAATATAAATATTCTTACACACTATTAATCTATCCAAGTTTTGATCCCTAGTATACCTAATTAAGAAACGTGATTTGTTTACTATCTTACATGTTAGGAAGGCCTAGTAATATGTTGAATAAATAAACAATAGACTCTCTTTTTTTCTTTTATTAGACACTCCAATGTTAACAAATTAAGTGTGTGCCTATTAATATACATATCACTTTCTATGTCTATGTCATGTGGCACGAAATGTTTAATAGGTATATATATTTATATATACTGGAGTATCTAATAGGAAAAAAGGTACTTTTAGTGGCAGAGCCAAAATTTGAATGTCAAATCATATATTATTATAAGTGGGAAGCTCTAACATTCAAAGTTGAATTACCATTTTACCCCTAGACTAAATAAAAATGTTGTAAAACATATAAATAATAAAATATTAAATAGTTAAAAGTTGAGTAATCATTTTATCATTTAAAAAAAAATTATTTATCAGTATTTTAACTACATTTAATTGATAGAAATCTTTCATCTCCCCGTTGATTAACCTAATACAGATTACTTGAACTCAATTTACAATCCTACTATTTCATATCTCACATTTACTATTTTTTCCCTTGAGCTTCCAAAAGTTATGTGAACTTTTCATGTTCCTTGTCAAATAGAATTGGAGTAATATATAGTGCATGTTCAGTGATTTTCTACAACTCAAGTCACATTAATCTTTCATCTTTAAGCTTTATATAATATATAGATTAGCAGCTATATGCCATAAAAGTTTGAATATATAAATATATATTGTTGATTGGGAACTACTTTATTCCTCTTATGTTCATTTTAGTTCTCAACAATATATATTTAATTTATGAAGATTTCCTTGAGTTTGCTAACTAATTCTTATTTATTTCTCTATATTTCAGATTTTATTTGGCAATTGTGCGCTCTTCACTTCTCATCATCAGGTACATAATGGATATGCTATTTACAACTCTCTTTTTTTTTATCAATTTTATTATTTCACATACATAAAATATAGTTTGTAGGAAACATGATATAAAAATAAGATTTTTGAGATTTGAGAAATTGTTTGTATAATTTTCAGGATATTTAGATCTTATACTTTTTAACATCTTTTACATATTTTAACTTTTTATATCAAGTCCCTTGTACTTTAATAAGGATCGATTCTTATTATATTTCGTAATGCAATTATACTTAAACAATACAAGTAATACTCTTATGTCAAATTTTCGTATGAAAAAAAATGTTCTTGAATAGAGATTGATTCTTATTATATTTCGTAATACGATTATATTTCAACCATATAAATAATATTCTTATGTTAAAGAAGTCCTAATCTTGAATCAAAGAAAGGATACATGTAGGTGCAATTATAATTAATATATATTGATTCAATTTTTTTGATGTCAGTAATAATTAATTATCTTTGTCATAATATAATTACTATTTTTTTACTAGGTGTATACTATAAAATTGACAATGATATTCTAGCCATATTAAAGAAGACATATGTTGATCAACTTTTTGTTCAACATTTACGGAATACTACTTTTGTTCGACAACAACTTCTTGTTATGCATACGACTATAAGAGGAGGAATTCCTAATTTCTGAAAGTCATGACATAAGTTTTAATATGCGAAGCATTTGAAAACATAATCAACCTTGCTTATGTTCACATTTAAACTATTAGGTGTTCACTCTAAATTAAAATATTATAAAATGTCTAATTAATTAAATGCATAATGAAGAAAAAAGTTTAAGATTAAAAAATTATAAATGTTAACCAATTGAAATTCTCAGCTTTTATTAGGTCTTTTGGCTTTTTTGCTGATGATTGATGTAAGCTTGAGCATTTAGAAGTACATGCGAAGTTGTAACCTTTTCATTAGCAATTACAATGAAAAAAAACATTACTTATCATCATAATTATAAATTAACTAACTAATTAATTTTCATTACTCTTTGTTGGAAATTAGCAGATGAAATGATTGTAACTAATTCGATTTATCCATCCATAGACAAACGTTAGGCATAAACAATATGCCATTTTTTCCTCTATTAATTTTTAGACTTTTTCTCCATTTTCCCCTTATTTTTCTATATTTCAATTATGGCATACCCAAAAATGGTTGCATATACATTTATTGTGGTTATTACAACAACATTTTAGACCTTTTATTTTCTTCATGAAACGTTTCTAAAAAGTCATGGTTTATTCATTTATTTTCCTCCAGCTCCTTGCAAGTTTTTATTTTACATTAGGGATACTTTAAATATCAAGTATTTATATTATAAATTACCATCCATATATCAATTTTCAACATTCTTGTAAACATTTGTGCATTTATGTCTATGCACTCCATGAAGGTAAGCACATACATTATCTAATCTTCTTTTCTCTTCTCGATTCAGACCTTTTTTTTCTTCCTCTACACATCCTAAATTTTTTTTGTGTCTTTCTCAATTTTTGCTATTTTCCCGTTTGACTTTCATATATTATTGTAAACTTATAGGTAAAGGTAATGTTAGAAGAAAAATACTACCTTTGATGATGAATTGAAAATGTCAATCCAATATATGTTTTTCTACGTAGAAGCAAATTTAAGGCTAAAATATGGGATACGTGAATTTAAAGTTTCTCTAAAAAAAATGGTATTTTATGTGTATAATTTTTAGAATTAGTAGAATATTATATGTTGATACTCATGCTATAAAAAGGCTAAATGATTCACTTGATTGAATGTTGAGTTATTCCCTGAGTGCTAGGATGAATATAATCCCGTCCTAAAACCCTTAGATAAGTTGAGTTGAGGAAAAAAAATATATCTATATCAAGAGTGGTTCATTTCATTATGACTTATAATAAATTTAGCATGAAATAGTAAGAGATGCTCTCTCTTTGGGTATGCTATGTAATTAATTAATAACTTCTTCTTTTCTTTTTTTCATTTTTCTCCTCATATAAAATAGTGATGTTATATTTTATTTGGTAATATCTAATTTATTTGTTGCTGAAAATTGTATTCTATTATTAATTCAGTCTTTGAAATCACTTAGGATGGCTTGTGATGATAAACCTACAATTTCTATGCATACTTGAGATGAATGATCAGATGTTAAAGTAGTGTTCGTAGAACATAAATTCTTTTCTATCCCTATGTCATCTATCTGTGCAATAATTAGTGGAAGACTATAACAATTCTAAATTGAATAGATTATAATAAATGACATTAAATCATTAACATTAAAAATATGAAAAATAATCTTCTTCATGTTTTTGCAAATTTCGTTAAAGGAAATCCACATGCATTTATCATTTTTTTCAAGCAAAGATTTATCAACATTCATATCATCTTAAGTAGCTTCACATATTTTTGTTGGAAGTACATTGTCCTGCTTTTATGAATTTTATCGATGAATAAAATTCATATTGTGTATTTCAACATTATCTATTTTAGGGAAAAGAGTCTGAAAAATACTCTAACTTTGGTCGAAATTGTTGTTACGATACCAAACTTTATGGAGGACCTTTTACCTCCTGAACTATTTAATAGTGTATTTTTTACCACCTGAACTATTTTATAGTGTATTTTAAAGGTATATATGTGCCCACGTGGACACATTACTATTTATAATTATGCAATATTTTTTATCTCCATGTGGGCACATATATACCTTTAAAATATACTATGAAATAGTGCAGGGGGTAAAAGGTCTTTTCCAAAGTTTGGTATCGTAACAACAATTTTGGTCAAAGTTCGGATATATTTCAAACTCTTATCCCTCTATTTTATAACTCAACTTTTTAAATATATCAACATTCTATAATAATGATAAGGGACAAACGTGCAACGCACGTTCCCATAGACTAGTATATAAAGTCACAAAGCATTTCCGAGCAACTTGAGCTATATTTTTTTTATGACGATCCACATATATTACATAGGCATTATTTGTGGATTATTATTACTTGCATGGAATTCGATCCATGGTCGTAACAAGAAGAAACTTCCGCCAGGACCAAACCCTCTACCTTTAATCGGAAATCTCCACAACTTATTCGGTGCTCCACCCCATAAGTCGATAGAACGGCTTGCTAACAAATACGGCCCAATAATGAGCCTCAAATTGAGCCGATAACCCACCGTAGTTA